GTGGATGGTGTTGACTAGCTACATTCCTTGTAGTCTATCATTCCAAAATTAGACCCGGTTATTGTAGATAGCTCTCAAGTATCTTTGCATGAAATCTAATTAAAAAACAGAAAACTCTTTCTCCTGAAGTAGTGAACAATAGTAATTGAATATAATAGTATTTTGCAAAAAAAAAAAAAAGTATCATACAATGAAAAGTTGTAAACTAAAAACAGAAATTTAACTCATATATAAGAGAGTGGAGTAATTGATTTAATTGTAAAATTTAAAAATGGGTACAAGAGGCCAGTAATAATTTAAACAAAAGTAAAATTGAATTAAAATAACAAGAATTTAAAGAAATTTCGACAGTAGATATATATATTAAATAATATTTTGCTCGTTCGAAAACATTTAGAAAACCTTATAATTGCTGTAGAAGCTGTATTCATTTTGTCTCTAAAATCTAATTATAAAGTTTGTATTATTTGTTACACAATTTTTGTATAAAGATACACAAAAAGGATGTCTACACACAACCGTCCCCATTTTTAAAACTATAGACCAAAGGGAAGGTTACTATTCAAAAACATCCTATACTAACTCTTGGAATACTTTTGTCCGACTTAATAGAAGGGCTTGATTATTAATTTAATAGCACACCTACGGTCCCAAAGTATGGAATGGGTTTTGGGGGCAACGGGCCGCGATCTATAAATTCTAGGATTCACATTCCAAGTTTGATGACCACTAGTCCACACTCGACCCACAATTCAATAAAATAGTCGTGTCAGTATCAAGTAATGCTTTTCTATCCAGATAATCTAAAAAAGTTAAATACACGTTATTACAACAACAAAAGTTTATGTTCGAATAGTTGTAACTGTTGCTGTCGTCTTCTCAATGCAAGGTTACACTGTAGGCTATCTGAGCTTTGTCCACCAGGGGAACTCAAAATCCGAAGTTTATCAAAGTAAGTACGTAAACTGACCATGGCAAGGAAGATAAAAACAATAGTAGAAGTACAGGAGAATAAGAAATTATTTTTGTTTCTTTGATTTTGATGATAGTTTTCTTTATTGAATAATATTTGCAATATTTCTGCTTCTATGAAAGCACTAAACAAATTATATCTGTTACTGGTACTGAGTGACACTTTGAAGACAAAAATGCCACCATTTATAAGTTCATATAATGAAATTATTCTCGTTAATTTCGATTATTCTAACGCTAATATATTTCATAAAAATACTTATAGTACATAAACAAAATAAAAGTAGTGAATTGATAACTGTCAAGCAGATACGAATTGTTTTACAATAAGAAAAGTCACAAAAAATAGTAACGTTTTTGGAAGAGTTTTGTGAGAAGTGCTTTACCGTTTGCAAAAATATATCATAAATTTCGATCTGTATTGCACAGCAATTCATACATTTTAAATGAATAAATAATCTTGTAACACTGGCTATTTTTATTTTATACTAAACAATGAACAGTTTTATGAGTATTTGTTATATATACAGTTTCATTTTAAAACCAGTTTTCTTTAATAATGAAATTTATAAAATTGTTATTGGTAATAAAAATAATATATTTTTCCAAAACAAAAATACCTTTGTTATAAAAATACAACCTTTTTAAACTACTTTTTCAGTAATTATTGTATGAAAAAAGATATATAGTCTTATAGCTTAGTGGGCAGAACACAGATAGTCCATTCTGTAGCTTTGTGATTAATAACAAAACAAACAAACTTAAGAAAATAAATAAACACTGAGCGGATGAATTAAATAGTATTAATAGTAATAAAAATAGTGGCGTCCTCTACAGTACAAATATCTTTTGAGTGATGTTAACACTGAAACTATGGGCAATACGCATACTTAAAAAAAGTATAATACTATATGTTGCAGTGTTCATAAGTTTATTAGTGAATAATGAGGATATTGAGAATTTATCCTTATTAATTCACAATCATAGTTGTAATTTATTTAGTTAATTTTAATTTGTGAATAAAAACTATTTGTGTAGTCAGTATTACTATTAAGAAGAAAGCGTAGCGGAGTAGTGGCTTGACAATATTAATCATTCATACATAGAGATATTTGTAAAATGTACAACTACAAGTTAATAATGCAGTTCCACAACAGATCTACCCTAAATCGTATACGTCCAGCTGATGTCGCCGAGTTTGTCACCTTGACTGTTGCGAATATGAAAGATTAACGGTATTTATTTTTAGGGTTCTTAGGATTTACTGTTGTAAGTATTATTAATTATTTGATATATTGATAGCACGTTTACTTCATTTTGTGTTGTTGCTTTGGATTTATTGATTTAAATAAAATCTGTTGAGTTTCTGTTTGTTTAAATCACTGTTTGCTGATCAGGAATTCCACCAGGATTGTTTTAACAATAACTATTGCATAAGTTTAAGGAGGGGACTCGCTTTCATTTACAGTTTCTAATTCTAAATTATTCCATTTGAATAGTTGATAAATGTCTTTGTGTATATTAATGGTTACTGAGCCAGTAACAAAAACGTGTATTGTTTATCATTTTAAACTTAAGTAGCTTAGATTAGAAATTATTCAACTACATAAATTTGACTTTTTCTGTATGTTTCTTGCACAAATTTTAAAAGCTGATAGCTAGGGGGCTGCTTGGGTGACTCCCATGCTATTGATTATAGTTTTTATATTTGTGGGAGTCTTGTGCTGTGAGCAAATTGAGGTTGAAACAACTGTGGTACTACTGATGGCTAGTATAACATGTTATGTTTCTCTTGAACATGCCTTCCAGTGGCCCAGCAGTAAGTCTGTTGGCTTAAAGTTGTAAAATCTAGGTTTTGATACCCTTGGGCACAGTACAGATAGCCCATTGTATAGCTTTGTGCTTAACAAACAAACAAACTCTTGCACATACGTACACAAAACAAGGTACCATTTGATCCTTCAAGGCTGTCCTTGTACATCCACCATTAGAAAGAGCAAAAATTCCTTTTCAAGAAGTCATCAGTTCTCCTATTTAACATCTGTAAAGTGCTGGCCAACCCTACTGCTGACAGCAACAAATGCCGTAATTCAGTCACCCTATTAAAAAATGAAATTTTCTTAACATTATCTATCATGTCTTTTTCAGATTTTTTCACTTGCTTCCATTCATACTATTATCTTTTAAATATAACATGTAGAAACCAGAGACCAATATCCTGCCAGTCACACGGATAATCTTGTAAACCTTAGTAAGGTCATCTCTTATATTTCTTTTCTCAAGAATAAATAAGTTAGTTCTTAACTTATTCCTATAACCCATCTACAGAATCATCCTAACAGCCCTTCTTTGAATTCGTTCTAGTAACTGGGTATTTTTTCTTAGAAGAGGAGACCAAAACTGTACATATTCCAAGTTAGTCATAATGTGTGATTTGTAGAGAATTAGAAATATAACTAGTTCTTTTCGACTTCTATTCAGTGTATGTAAATACACCCTAAAATTCTATTAGCATTAATGCTAGCAATAGAGCAGTGCATTGATGACTTGATTGACTTATCAGTCACTATGTCAAAATCATTTTCTTCACTCATATTATTGAATTGGTTCCCTTTTATATTAAATTTGTGAACCAAATTATGTTAACCCTAATGCATTAACTTGCACCTACTGTAATTAAAGGTAATTTGCAAAATGTGTGTTCAACTTACCAATGAAACCAAGTCCTTCTGTAGTTCCTCATCAACTTCAGTACACCTAGAAATACTAAAAGTTTAATTTTATTAGAAAACTTTACTGATTTATTAATTATGCCTTATCATCAATCTAAATATGAAAGAGCTGTACCAAGCACTGACTCATTAGGTACTCCACTATTAACATGGATCCAGTTTGACTAGATTCAATTAAAAAAACCTTTTTTGCTTTCTTCAATTCAACCACTCTACAATCCAATTAACTAGTATTTCCTCAAATCCTAATGATGTGATTTTCTTAGTTAATCTTGTGTGTGTGTGGTAACTTATTAGGAGATTTTTAAAAATCTAAGTACACCAAGTCTGCTGCCATTTTTTCATCTAGATAACAAGTAACATCCTTGAAAAAAAATGAACAGGTTATATATGCTTATTTGGAGAATAGCTACAATTGCTCCTGTATTTAAATAGGGTTGATAAGGGATGAAATTGAAATTATAAGCCAGTTATTCTTACTTCTGTAGTGGGAAAAATTCTAGAGAGTCCAATAAGAAAAGCAACATTTAGTGAATTATGGCAGTGGTTCTCAACCTTTTTGAATCCTTGGTACTCTTCTGGCATCAAATTTGTGTCACAGAACCTTTTATAGCATTCACTACAAAAAACATTGCTACAGTACTATATGAGTAGTTTCAGACAGAGTACATATGTTTAATGCAGCTATATACCACCACCCCCATACACACATACACATGTGCAAAATATGAAAAATTTCTAGAGCCAATTACTCAGGCACATACACACTTGTAATGAGAAGTGTGCTCTCTCAAATAATAAAAGTTTGCATGACTCAAACTCCTGTTTGTATCTAGTCTTGCTTACTAATTTAAAATAATGCAGTGACTTCTTGTTATATTGTTTCGTTACGAAACCTGCTCTTCTAATAAAGAAATATGGTGTAGTTGCATTGCAAATATGTGACTAGTATGCACTTACACATTAGTATGTGGAACTCTTGCATTCTACAGAACCACAATATCTTACAGAATTCCTGGATATCTGTCGAGGAACCTGAGGGTGGAACCACGATTGAGAAGCGCAGAAATATGGTATCATAACTGCCAGCCAACATAGAGAAATAATACCTTAATAAACTGTTAACTTTTTTTAGGATCTTACTTATTTTATGAATGATAGTAAGAGTGTAGTTTGTTGTACATAATTTTTCAAACATGTTTTGGAAAGTTGTCACAAATAAGTTCAGCTAAGAAAATTAAATAGATAGTGCCTGCAGAGAGACTGAAGAGTGATTGGGTGAGAGAAAACAGAATTGTTATCAATGGAGTTCAATCAAACCAGACCTTTGTGAACAGCACGCCTCAGGAGTCAGTACTTACATTAATAACATTAGCTGGGGCATAATTAATAAATTAGTAAAGTTCAAATGAAATTTAACTCTTAGATATTTCTAGATATGTTAATGTTGAGTTGCTTTAGAGTGACTTGTACCTTATAACTTATTTCTGATACAGTACATTACCTCCTCTCACATAAATAACCATTCTTGTTCAGTGCTGCCCTCTATACGCAACATTTTTGGTGTATGCCACAAGCCTTGAAGCTCCCACCCATCTCCAAATCAACTGATTTAAATGTGCCTCGCATGCAAATCATCATGCGACAACCCTCCATCAATAAGAGTGCGACACATTTTCTTGATGCATATGACTCCCTCTATTCAATTCTATGAAATTATGTCTTCTCATTTGGCAATACTCATGTTGTAACGTTTAGTTCATGCTCTCTTCAAGTGTTTTATTTTATTTTTCCGTATCTTTGTATCAATTTCTCTCAATAGATTTACTATTTATTATACAATAATGACATTTGTCTCTTGTTGAGTTATTCCAAAGTGGAATTATTTTATATTTCTACCTGGTTAAAGAACTTATTACTTCATTACAACAACTTTTTATTTCTTTCTGCCAACACAGTGGTGTTTGGTTATTCATTTTGAATTATGAATTCTATGTTACCACTTCAGAGATTATATGTTCTGTCAGCACATTTACACATGCTTCAGGTGTCGGTACTCCAAGGGGAATTTATTGGCTTTACTTCATCGAGAGATTGATTGTCCAATGAACTGACATTCGTCGGCCTCGCCTCGAGTTTGGGGGCCCATATATTTTGAAATACAGTCTGCCAACTTTGGAAAGATAAGATGTTAAACTATTATGGTTTTTAAATAATTTTATTGTTAATATTATAATCTTTAGTTATTTAGGTTCCATAACATAAGTTTTATTAGATTATTCAATACTCGTAGTCAAGTTCAGGTTAGCAGTTAGTCTTAGTTGTATCTTTTCTCCAATACCATTCACTTAGGCTTACCATGGTCTTGGTTATTTTTGGATTACCTGTAATTCATCTTACTGGTATATCAATCATTAGTTTATCTATTAGGTCATCAAGAAATTAATGTTGCTTTTTTTTAGATGAAAAAACCCCAAACAACCTATATATCAAAACAAAACATTTATTAAATGAAATAGTCTCCATTCTTATTGATAATGTTTTTCCATCTTACAATCAAGTTTTTAATGCCCCGATTAAAGAAATCACTTGGCTTTGAAGCAAAAAAACATGTCAGTGTCGTCTTTAACACCTTCCACATTTGCATACGTTTTCCCATTATGATGATATTGCAGTGAACAAAAAAGATGGTAATCTGATGGCACCATATCTGGAGAATATGGTGGGTGGGGGAGAACTTCCCAACCCAACTCCGTAATCTTGTGTTGCATCATATGTGCACCATGTGGACGTGCATTGTTGTGGAGAAGAAGAACACCTTTCCGATTGACAAGTGAAAGGC